CTCCGCCTCTAGCTCAGATCGTCCGCACAAGGTGCCTTCTACCCCAAGGGTGATCGGCCTGAAGCCCAAGGGCACTAAGCGTTGACACCTGCGATGCGAGGCTCGTATTGGCGACAGCGTGCGCGGGTCCACCACCTAAATGACTGTCTCAGCTATACCAAGCCCTAGACCTGCCCTTCGTCACGCGAGCTACCGTTCCAGGCGAGGCGGGGCACCGCCCTGCCGACTAACGGCGACGATAGGCCCACTCCCTGACTCGGTGGCGTCAGGTCGCTGCTGTGTCCTGGGGTAGCTCATACTTCGTCGTCCTCATTAACATTCTTTTGGTCTCAACGGTTCTGTTGCAATGTGGTGTACCTCCCCACGGGACGCATTCTGTATATTCTACCCTACCGATACCCACAGCGCCAGTCTCATTACCTCTCTACAGTCCACCCAAAAAAACAAAATTCTCAGGAAACTTCTTTTCTTCTGTCATCCGTCACTTTTCCTCTTTTCCAACACACTTCACCTACACTGACAGAAGACTGACAGATCGAATTCTTCTGTCACGTTGCCCATTTCTAACCCCTCAATCAGTCACTACCGTCACTCACCTGTCACTTTGCACTAGCCCGCAGGAAAAAGCGCTCCGATAGGGTTCGCCCCCCCTTTTCCCAAAGTGACAGATGAAAAACACTTTTCCCGTCAATCAGACTTTTTTGAGAAATTCCACTGCGTACCCTTGTTTCCGTGCGGCGGTAATTGAGACCCGTCAGCCTTTGTGCGGACGGTGAACCGCAGCTTCAACGATTCCTCCTGCTGGTTCATGTACTCGCCGAAGCTCTTGATGGTGTTCCATCGGAATTTCACGTTGTTGTCCTTTGCGATGTTGCCAAGTTCCCTCCGAAGCTCAGCGGTGGTCACCACCCGGTATTCGTTCGTCGCCGTCCCCGTCCATGTGCCCGGGCGGCGATTCGGTGAGCCATTCGGAGATGAGCACGGGCAGGTCGGAATCCTCCGACGTGAACTGCTGGAAGAGTGGGACGATGTTCGCGATTGCCTCCTGCAGGCTGTCACGGAATACGGGGTCGTAGCTCTCTCCGATCCACGTCGCTAGGCGTATCCAGTTCCGCAGGCGCGACTCGTGCTTCACGTCGAGGCTTTCGTAGTCGGGACCCTGCAAAACGCGCTGGATGACTCTGGCGACGGCAGACATAAGCTCGTTGCGTCGCGGCAGTACCTCGTCGTATCGGTCCTGCTCATCGACGCCTACGGTGGCCGGCATCCGCTTGAGATGCCAGATCAGCAACCGGGAGGCTACGTCGTCTTGCCGGAACCAGGGGGTCCGCGAGCTAATCATCACGAACGCCCGCGAGAGGAATGTGCTTACGTCGTTGTCCGAGTATTTCGTCCGGTCAATGCGCGCCTTGCCCGTCGCGGCGGTTGAGAGGGCCTGGGCGAACCAGTCCACGTATTTGTCTGCGTTGTCGATCAGGACGTAGTCGAAATTCGACCCCGCCACGTCGAACGCCTCACTTGTGCTCGGTGTGTCGGTCTTGATGTGGTCGGCCATCTCCGGGCCGAGGATGGTCTGCAGGACTCTAAGGAAAGTCTCGGTTTTGCCGGAATTGTATGGGCCGACCGCGAGAGCAATGGGTTTCGTCCGCAGAAGGTCGTGGAAGAAGAGGGAGAGCACGTATGTCAGGAACATAACCTGCGCGCATTCTCGTGAAATGCCCTGCATCTCCTCGTCGACCTGCATTCCCCTCAGTGAACCACATGGAAAGCCGGTCGAGGTCATCGAGACCATCGGATGCGACGACATACTCCCATGGAGCATACATTTTGCTCTCCTCGAAGAACACGTCGTCCATGCCTTGCCGCCCCGCGCGAATGTCCTTCGGCGTGACTTTGAGGACCGAATGATTGCCCATATCGAGGTACATCGTCCGAGTAGGTCTGTCGAGCTTTGTGATGGTCTTCATCTCGAAAAGGGGCGGACGCATCGCCATAATGTCCAGCGTGTCGAGCAGAGCCGGGCCTATGTGCTGGGTGCTAATGATGCCGTACTCATCGTGCAAGAGGGTCAAGAACGGCCTGACCAGGTCACGTTGCTTCGCTGTGCCTGAGATGCGGAGAAGCTCTCCAGTCTTCTCGACATGGTAGTAGGCGATGCCGTCCGTTGTGCCCATAAGACGTCCCGCCCTTGTGAGATTGCCAATGACTTTCGCAACATCGTGGTAATAGTGTCCCTCGAACCTCATCGTCTCTTGCGCCGCCCTCTCTTCGCTTTCGCCCCTAAACGCTCTCACGTTCCGCTCGAACTCGCGGTTGGAGATTGGACTTTCCTCGACCATGGCCCGCGCTCGTTCAAGGGCTGGCTCGCTCTTGGCGATCCGCCTGAGCGCCGTCTGCGCTGGCTGCTCTTTCCACTCCCCGCGGTCTTCGGAGAAGACGGCATCTTTGAGCGTTTTCAGTGCGTCGGCCTCCCGCTTCTCTTCCGGTGTCGGCTGAGCCAACTTCGCGGCCTTGTCGATTTTCTTGACCTCCGCATCGACCTGGTCGTCTTCCGTGTCGTCCGAATGCCTAGTGATCTCGACATTCGCGAGAAGGGCGTCGTCTATACCCTTGGCACCATCCTTGCCACCCGCCCAAGTCTCCAGTTCTACGGCGAACTCGGACTCGCGGATTCCGTCGACGGCGCGCCGGAGCGCTCCGGCGACCGCGCGGTTCTCTCTCGCGTCGCTGTCAAGGGCGACGATGGCCGTCTCTGTCCCCAAAGCCTTGAACGCTGGGACCGCCGCCTCGAACGCCGAGGGGCCGTTGAGCCCAATGGTGAGCAAGGATGGTTCCTCGCGCTCGATGCTGAGGGCGGTCGCAACGTCGGCCTTGAGCTCTCCTTCGGTGACGCGGGCTGTCGGGTGGTACTCCACCACATCTCCGGTTGTTATGTCCTTCCTCGTCGCCGGCGTGGGCCTTATCACGGGCACATGGGCGGGCGCTCCCGGCCCAGGGCCAGACTCGACCGAGGCGGACGAGACGAAGGAGTATCGCGGGTCGCCCTCATCTTTCCGGACGCGAAGGGCGACGATACGAGTCCGTGCGTCGCGGACGGGAATGATGAGGCCCGGGTAGGCGATGAACCGGCGCTCGACGGGATGAACGCCGGGAACCTTCCGCGCATCCTCACCGAGCTCGTCGAGCAACGCCCCCGCGATGGCGTCACCTTGCCCTTCGGGGAGGGTCCGGTACTGCGCGAGTTCGATGAACGACTCTGACAGTCCGCGACGGCGGAGGTCCTCCCGGTGGCGCTGTGAGAGCGTGAGCCGGTCGAGGACGAGGCGGTAGGCCCGGTTGAGCGTGTCTGCGTCCGCGATCGGGATTCCCGGCTTCGCGGGATGGACGCCGTTGCCGGAGCGGACAGGCGGGGAAGCTGCATCACCGAAGACGGCGCGGGTGATCTCTTTGATGCGCTTGGCCCGCGCCTCTCCCTGCAGGAGGTCAAGGCACGAACGGCAGGCGAGCAGGACGGGGACCGTATCGCCGCGAGTGATACGGAAGCGGTCGTCGCCCCCGCACAGCGGGCAGGGTGCCTCAGCCTTCTTGCCGCGCGGCTTGAGGTTCAGGGCGTCGATCCAGTCCTCAAATGTCTGTGTCATGTTTCTAACCTCCTTTGACATCGCCTACAACTCGGTTTGCGAGGATTCGCCGCGATCCGAATGTCGGGCCAGTCGCCGAGCGTGGATTTCGCGTCAAGCGTTCGTCGTCGTTCGTGAGGGCCCAAGTCCCACCCTCGAAAAGCCACCACAGTTGGTATCCGTGCCCGCTGTGGACTACGAGCGTTGGCTGTGGGTCGAGGGCCGCTATGAAGTCTTCGGCTTCCTTCTGGCTCGGCAGGTTGCGCTTCTTGTGTGCGCCCTCAACCTCGTAGTCGACGTCGGCCGAGAGACCGGCGATCCCGTGTGCCTCGTCGGACTCGACGCGGTTGTTGCTGCGTAGGTCCTTCCCCGGCGGCCTTGCGCTTACGCCACAGGTCGCGTTGGCGGGCGCACGCGGCCGAGCACGTCAAGGTGAACGGGATCGCGAGCAAGCGAGGCTCCGGGATGGCCTCGCCACACATGGTGCATTTCTCCATGGATTCGCCGCCTAGTTGCGCCGAATCGCGGCTTGGCGGTCGAGCCAAGCGTCGACCTCGATCCTCAACCACCTGTTAGCCGTGGAGACCTTAAGGGGCCGAGGGAATCCCTGCGAGTCCATCAGGACGTAGAGGGTGGAACGGGAGCATTTGAGCAGGGCCAGAACTTCGTCCGCGCGTGAGTAGGGTCGTTCTTCTGTGTCGTGGTCAACCTTTGCCTCCCTGTAATGCAAAAGGCCCGCTAGGTTCGGCATTAGCCGTTCCTCAGCGGGCCTTCTGAAAAGGCAAAGTCCGACCAATGCAGTACCCTCTCTGCTGCATTGGTCCATAGGAACCAAAGTGAACGAAATCCCACTTACTCAATAGGTGAGTAAGAGCTGTCTCGTGGGTTCTATGGCTCACTTATAGCACGTCGTCACCACCAGTGTCAATCAGGGACAGACACTTACGGATCATTCCCGTGGACGGAACAGCACACGCTTACGGATCATTCGGCCAGTTGCCTTGGGGAGCATTGCGCGGTCAGCCGCGTAATCCATAGCCTGCTCTAGCTGCTGGAGCCTTTCGTCGTCAAAGGAGCTCTCGGGGCTTCTGCCAGCCGTTGGCATAACGCCTTCATACGATTACTGGACAGCTCGGAGTCTGCGTAAAGCACGTCGATCAACACTTCAAGTGCTGCCGATGGCGGCAGCTCGTCCAGTGGAACCGGGATTCTCTCCAAGACGGATAGCAAGTCCCTTCCGCCCTTCTCTGCGGCTTCCTTCTCCTTGACTTGGAATCTTGCCTCCACGAATCGCGAGACCGGCTTGTACTTTTCGCTAGGCCTTTCGTAGGGTAAGGTCATTTTGAAAGTTAGAACCTCCTCTTGGGGGTTTGGATGTGGCTAGGCTTTGGAGACAAAACTGCCCCACTGCTGCATGAGCGTCCGCCGCTTCTCGAAGAGGTCGGAGCGGGCGTAGGCCGCCTCGGTCGAGTTGCCGAGCGTGTGAGCCAACGCCGCCTCTCCCACGGCCCAAGGGGTGTCGGTCGTCTCCATGTACCACGTCTTGAAGCTGGTGCGAAATCCGTGGACAGTGGCGCGGTCCGCAAGGCCAAGGTCCCGCAGCAGCTTGGTCAAGGTCATGTCGGACAGCTCGCGCCCCGGCTTGTACAGGGACGGGAAGACCAACCCGGAATTGTCGTCTAGGGCTTTCGCTCGGCGCAGCACTTCAAGGGCCGCATCCGAGAGCGGTACCCGGTGCTCGCGCCCGGCCTTCATGCGCGATCCCGGGATGGCCCACGTCCGGGCGTCACGGTCGATTTCATCCCACCGAGCGCCCCGCGCCTCGCCGGACCGCGCCGCCGTCAGCACCAGGAACCGGAAGCACAGCCTCGAGGCGAGCCCGCCTGTGACGCCTCTACCCGCCGGAGTACGTCGGGTACGTCCTGATAGGGCAGGGCTCGGAAGTGGGCCGCGACTGCTGGCGTTCGGGGCAGGCCCGCGTCAATCACCTCTCCCGCTGGGTTCAGGTCGATGTAGTCGGATGCCATGGCGGCCGCGAAGATCTGTCGGATGCGTTGCCTCAGCTTGCGGGCAAGTGATGGTTTGGACTCGAGACTGGTTTGAGCGCGTTGAGAACGTCCGCACGGGTGACGCGGTCGATGCGCGTGTTTCCGAACTTCGGGTAGGCGTAGGTCGCGAGACTCCCGCGCCAGTTAATGGCCTCCTTCGGATTCTTCCAACGGTCGGAATTTTCCAAGATATACTGCTCGGCCGCGTCTCGGAATGTCGGTATGTTCGGCTGACGGCGCTCCGCCCGTGGGTCCCGTCCCTCGGCCACCGCTGTACGAATCTCCGCGCTCTTCTTCCGCGCCAGGGCAAGGCGCACGTCAGGGTATCCACCGAGCCCGATGTCGGTCCGGTCTCCGTCAATCGTGATGCGCTGTACCCACGACCTCGAGCCCGTCGTTCGGACTACCAGATAGAGGCCGCGTTCGTCAGCAATCGCTGGGTCTTGGGGCCGGGTTTCGCTTTCTCGACCTGTATCGCTGTCAGTGGCATGTCCATCACCCTGTACCACGTGGTACATCGGATGTACCACACAGCAATGGACGCTACAAGACGGTTAAGACAACCCTTCACATACACTTTGCGGGCCCTCGGTCGTCACTAAAGGGTAGGATGGCTGCCCGGCCAGGATTCGAACCTGGGTCTGAGGATCCAAAGTCCTTCGTGCTACCACTACACCACCGGGCAACGACCTGCGGTCTACGGGAGGGGTTGCGACTCCGAAACGGGGAGTCGGAGGGAGGCTACCCGCGTCCGTCTCGTCTACGACGGCGTTGTCCGCCTGGAACTTCTCGACTACGCGGAAGAAGTTGATCGACCACCCCGCGCCGAACACCATCGGCGTGAAGATGCGCTCGTCATCCTCGTTCCAAAATCGGTCTCTGATGCGGTCGGCGGTTGGGACGCGGAAATCGTACGGCACGCCGAGGAACCTGCCAACCGGCTGGCCCGAACGGACCGCGTAGACGAGTGCCCCTACCGTAAGGGCGACGAATAGCGTTCTGAAGTTCAGGAGATGTTTCACGGTTGTACCTTGATGCGCGGGAAGCAGGCTCCCTTAGAGCCTGCTTCTACTATAGCGTATCAGGGTCGTGGAAATCACTGAAACTATCGCATAGGGCGTAGGAAGAATTGCGTAGGGGGATTGCGGGAGGAGCGGGGTCTTCGCGCTTTCTCCATCCAGGAGGCGATCTCGCCTATACTGTAGACCATGCGGCGCACCGTCCATACCGGGGTTATCTGGCACGATTTCTGGATCGGGTTCTTTGCCGTGGTGATCGCGCTCGGCTTTTTCATGGGGCAGGGAGTGGTGATAGCGTTCGGGGCCATGGGGGTCGTCTCGGGGGCGGTATCGCTGGCTTGGAACCGCCTCTCGCTGGACGACGTTGAAGTACGAGAGACACCTGCCGCATCAGCGGGCCTTCCTGGGCGAGGAAATTGACGTCACCGTCTCGCTCATGAACCGCAAACCGCTGCCGCTGCCGTGGATCCGGGTGACTGACGAGCTTCCGGATGAGCTGCGGGTGGTGTCCGGCGACGTAGCGGCCAATGTGCGGCCCAAGGTGTCCGCGCTCCGGCACCAGACCTCTCTGGCGTGGTACGAGCGGATTCGCTGGAGATACCGCGTCAGGTGCGAGGAACGGGGTCTGTTCGCCATCGGTCCGGCGAGCATTCAGAGCGGCGACCCGTTCGGCTTCCTGCGAAGTCGTATGAACACCGAGACAGTGAGCCACGTGCTCGTCTATCCGAGGGTCTATCCGCTGGAGGAACTGGGCATGACGGCGCATCGGCCATTGGGCGACGTGAAGGGGCAGGTGCAGATTTTCACGACCCCTTCCGAGGCCCATCGGCGTGCGCGACTACCGGGCGGGCGACCCGATGAAGACCATCGACTGGAAGTCGACCGCACGGGCCCAGAGCCTGCAGGTCCGTCGCTACGAGCCGAGCACCACTTTCTGGCGCTTCTCGTCGTTGCGGTCGACACGACCGCGCCTCACTGGGCGCCCTATGCCCGCGAGAAAATCTCGAGCGGGTAGTGACGGCGGCCGCATCGGTCGCCTCCTACAGCGCGGAGCGTCAGCACTCATCGGCTTGTTCTCCAACGACATGCCCACGCGGGCTCGACCGGATGATGACCGTCGCGCCGGGGCACGGCGAGAGCAGTTCGCGGAAGTGCTCACGGCGCTGGCGGGACTTCGCGCCTATGCATCCGGCCCATGCACGAGCACCTGGCCCAGAACTACCGACGGTTCCCCTACGGCTCGACCCTGGTGATCGTCACGTCATTCATGCCCCCGGAGTTCGTTCAGGTCATCAACGACCTTGAGCGACATGGCCACAAGATGGTTGTCGTCTATGTGGGCCAGGAGAAGTGCCCGCCGCTGCCTGCGGGTGTGGTGGTGCATGAGATACGTGAACGACTCGACCGATTGGAGGCGGAGTATGCCGCTGCGGCAGGATAGGGTCGTACTCTGCCGCCCACGTGGTGGCCCGGAGCGCCTGGGTCTTCGCGCTCGCGGGCATTGTTGGCACGCTGGCCGACTTCGACTCAAGCCGCTAGTCTTGGTACGGCGTCGTCGGCATCCTGGGGCTGTCGGTCTTGCTGAGCCGCATCACCCCGCGTAAAGGCGAAAGGCGAGGTCCGGTATGCTCTGATGGCCGTTCTGGGCCTGATGGTCGTGTACGCATCGGTTGCGCTGCAACGTGGAGCCGGGGAGATTCGACCGTCGTGGGCCATCGACTGGCTCATCAACGATGCCCCCGGCGGCTACACGTCGCGTGGAGTATTCGGCGCGATTCTCGGGGTGCTGCTGTGGTGGAGGGGGACGCGCGTCTCATCCAACGAGTTTCCCCGCGACGACCTCTCGTTCACCTTCCGTGTGGGGATGCTCGTGCTCGTCGCCGCGCTGATCTACGACCTGAACACCGACGAAAGTCTCTCCACCTTCCCGATGGTCTTCCTGTTCTTCGGCTCTTCGCTCATCGGGTTGAGCGCGGAGCATCTGCTGGAGGAGTCGGCAACGTTCGGCGGGAGAACGCACGTGGCCGAAGGCGATCGGCGCGACAGTCGCTGGCATCACCACGTTCGGCCTTCTGGTCGCGCTCGTGAACCGAGGTGTCTTGTCGTTCCTCTCCAAGCCCGCGACAGCGGCGCTGGAGGCGCTGGCAAGGGGCGTCCTCTGGGGGATCATCGCGCCCATCGCCTTCGTATTCGACGTGGTCGTGGGCTGGCTCATCAGCCTCTTGGGCATCTTCCGGGGCGAGCGAGAGCAGCCCCAAGAGGAGGAGATCAACCCGGAGATACAGGGCTTCCTGGAGACACTCCAAGAGGAGCAGGCGGCGGCGTCAGAGGGATTTGCGACTGTCCTTCAGATAATAGAGTGGGCGTTGGTGGCCATTGTCGTGGTCATCGTATTGCTGATCCTGGGTCGGGCGTTTCGGCGGGTGCTGCGCGGACGGGACCGTGGCACGGATGGACAGCGCGACTCGATGGCGCAAGAGGCGAACCCCGTCGGGGACGTCGCGAAGTTGGCGCTTCGCCTCGTGCCGGACGTGCTGAAGCGACCACAGCGCAAGGGGTATCGAGTGCCGGACGGCCCGCCGGGCATCGTCGAGGCCTTCCGGCTGTACTACGACCTGCTCGACACGGCGGAGGAACAGGGCATCACCCGCCGCAAGTACGATACGCCAACTGAGTTCCAGGGCCGCTTGGAGAGAACGTTCCCGGCTGACGTGGTGCGCCCCTCGACCGAGTCCTTCAACCTCGCCATCTACGCAGACGTGCCCGCCGACCGCTCTATGATCGGCGCCTTCGGCAGGGGCTCAGGGACGCGACGGCGATGATACGCAGGGAGCGCCCAAGAAGACGAAGAAGAGGAATGGTGACATCCCCCTAGGGGGCGATGTACAATCCCGCGCAACTGACGAGGTTCGGTGACGATATGAAAAACGCATCCATCAGAGAGCAAGTGGAACGGTGCATCGAGGAGCTTCGCCGGGGTGAGCTTAAGGAAGACGGTCTGCGGGGTGTCCTCGACTCGATTGACCGGCGGCGCGGCCGACGGGGCCGCAAACGAAGGCAGGACCTGCTGTACCTTCAAACGCGGTCGACATCCATCGACTACCCCGTTCTGGGCATGAGAATCCTGGAGAACGGCGTCCTGTGGGACGGTCCGCGCGACCCGGAGGAGTGGCCGTACAAGACCGTGCTGGAGGCCGTCAACGACGGGTGGCGCATCATCAAGTTCCCGGAGATGGCGTTGCTAGTCGACGAGTCCCGCTCGTACGGCCTCGCCTGTGAATTCATCCTCGAACGGATCAGGGAGGCCTAACCCCATGTCACGCATCTACGACTGCCCCCCTAGCATGGACGAGTTCGGCGTCATCGACTTCTGCAAGAACGGCTTCCTGCTGTTCCCCGGCGTGGTCTCCGAGGAGATCAACGAGCGGACGATCGAGTTCATCGAGACGAATCCCGGTCCCGTCGACTACGAGCCGAGCCACATACTCGATGAGGACTGGTTCGTCGAGAACGTCATCTGCCAGCCGGAGGCGGCCGGCGCCGTCCGGTGCCTGCTGGGGCGGGACTTCGGCCTGCCGATCCTCATGAGCAGCCACAAGGTCGAGTGCCCGCAGCCCGCTCAGGAGTGGCACCGCGACGGCGGTTCGCGGTGGGGACCTCAGGTCAACTACCTCCAGGTGTTCTACTACCCGCAGGAGACCCCGGCGCGAGATGGGCCCGACGGAGCTGCTTCCCGGCTCGCACCACCTGTTTTCCCTGTCCACGCACATGGGACACTACGGCAGCATCATGGACGCGAGGTATGCCGAGTGCCCGGCGGGGTCCATCGTCATCACGGCGTACAACATCTGGCACCGGCGCGGGAAGTCGACCGGCAGCGGCGTGAGGCACAACCTCAAGTACAACTACTGGCGCACGACACCGCCCGGCCCGACGTGGAACCACAACCCCGACTTCGACATCACGGACTTCGACTGGCGGATACGGAGGCCCCATCGTTCCGCCAGCAGTTCCGCGACTCCTTCGACGCGGCCGAGATGTTCCTCTGGCTCAGCGGCCGCCACGACAAGTTCAAGGTCCTGGGCGGCCAGGGCTGGCCCATGCCCGGCAACCGCCTTGAGCGTCAGTACGGCATCCCCGAGGGGATCGAGTAGGCGGCGGCGCACTCCACATAAGAAACCACACCGTCATTCCTGCGAAGGCAGGGAATCAGAATCCCGCTAGCGAACCATCTGCGGCATCCGCAAACTCGGCATCAGAAGGGCCAATAGAATGCTGTATGAGGCGATCCGCGAGGCGTGCGCGACTATCACACGATAGTTGCTATGTGCCCCGATCTGACGAGCCTCATGAAGAACGCAGCGCATTGGGCTCAACAGGACTGTCCGCACCGAAGCAAGAGGTTGATGTCTTGCTAAGTTTCGTCAATAGCTGAGTACCCGCTTATGAAGACGCACCTCCCGCTATTGGACGTGTGCTCAAAGAGATATTGCCGCGCGAACTGAGATCCGTTACCATCGAAGACGATCTTGGGGAAGGGGAATCTTCGTGACCAGTAGTACTAGCAAACTAATCTGTCGTCTCTTCAATATGCGCTGGCAAGATGTGGCACCTCGCAGTCGCCAACAGGGGCTTCAAAATGCTACACCAACATCGTGTACCCCAGGCGTCTTTGTCATGTGGGACGGGCCATAAGAGGTGGGTATGGATGTATGTAACAAAGGTGAGGGAGAGCAGTACGTAGACTTCTGCGTAGAACACAAAGGCTTGCCAACTACCGCAGCTGCCAAATTGACGAAAGAGTGCGGCGTATCTCGAGGAGAGGCAATCGCGCGTTGAAGCGTGATGGACCACCTATCGTCCAAAGCTTGGGACGAGTACAAAGCTACGTGAAGTTCACTGAACGGCCGACGACAGCCATCTAGGGCACGGCGGAACGTACCAGCCTGCAACTCGTCCTAAGACGGTCTCTCGCCATCAACGCGGCGCTCTCCTGTCTGGCGCTTGCCGCGGTGTTGGTCGCCTGTGGCGAAGACCGACACAACACCCACTGCGTCACGTTCCTGCTATCGGAAGCCCCGCCCTCCACAGTGGAGGACTACATGCTATTTGTCCAAGAGTTCAGCGATGGCGCGGCGGAGATCGACAAGTTCATCGGGGCGTTCAGTGAAGCCTCAACTGACCCGAACGATTCCCAATGCCTACGGTACAGCGCGGACTGCATACGTAGGCAAATACACGCGACCTCGCGTGCGAAGTGAGTACGAAAAGGCGATTCAAGACCTGAACGACGCCATTCGCCTTGATCCGTACAATGTCGACGCCTATATCGCTCGAGGAAACACTTACGACCTTGGGACTGACTACAGTATTGACGGTCTTGGGGAAGAAATTGACAAAGCGATCCGTGATTACGATACGGCGCTTCAACACATCGATAAATCTGTCAGTCTCGAGCCCACGGTGTTGATGCGTACATCGACCGGGCGAACGTCTAATCCCCCACATTTCCCATATCGAAATATCGACCGTACATGGCGTGGTCGCCATCATACATCTGCACTGATGTACCGAATATCAGGGCCATCAGTGCTTATCATAGTGCTTGCCTGGTCGCAGCGGCTACTCTAGCGGTGTGATAACGTACCCACTCTGGAGGCACCCAATGGGTGAAAGCACCAACCCCCGCGCCACGCTCCGTTTCGACCGACGTATACGGTTGGAGTTTCACGGCGCTACCATCACCTCGGACGCTGGGCTGCTGGCCTGTCGCGAGTTGGATGATGCACTGGGACTGACGGAGACGGCGATGAGTGTCTGCAGGAGAGTCGGGGCGGTCGTAACGTGCAGCACCGATTGGTGGGCCTTCTCAGGCAGTCGGTGTACAGTCGTCTGGCGGGCTACGAGGATACCAACGACGCTGAACGGTTGGCCGACGATCCGACGATGCGGGTAGTCGTTGGAGACCGAGGCATAGACAGACCGGCGGCAAGCACCAACACCATGAGCCGGTTCGAGACCGAGGTGCTCACCCAAGACGGCAACGTGGAAGGGTTGGGCCGACTGAACGCTAAGTGGGTGGACGGAGCTATGTCCCGCACGCCGCACCGGCGGGTGATCTTGGACATGGACAGTTCGGAGAGTCCCGGTACATGGAGAACAGGAGGGAGCGTCGTACAACGGTCACTTTGGGAGCACGTGCTATCACCCTTTGTTCGTGTTCAACCAGTTCGGTGACTGCGAGGGCGCGATGCTGCGTGCGGGGAACGTACATAGCGCGCACAGGTGGCGTGATGTATTGGATCCGATCCTGTCCCGCTACGGGGCGACAGGAGTGCGCCGGTACTTTCGCGCCGACGCCGCATTCGCCAAGCCGGACATCTATGAGTACCTGGAGGAGCGGCGAGTCTTCTACGCAATACGGCTGCCGAGCAACAAAGTGCTGCAATACGAGATCGCTCCCTTGCTGATACGACCTGTGGGGAGGCCGCCGAAGCGTCCAGTGATCCTATACGACGACTTTTGGTATCGTGCCGGGAGTTGGGACCGCGCTCGGCGGGTGGTGGCCAAGGTGGAGTGGCATAGGGGAGAGCTGTTCCCTCGGGTGGGCTTCATCGTCACGAACATGACGGCTGGCCCCGAAGGAGTGGTGCGATTCTACAATGGTCGTGGGACAGCCGAGCAGTGGATCAAGGAGGGGAAGTACGCGCTGAACTGGACTCGGCTGTCGTGCCATCGGTTCGTGGCCAACCGGGTGCGTCTGTCTCTGTTCGTCCTGGCGTACAACCTTGGGAACTTCCTTCGCCGGCTGTGTCTGCCCAAGGCGGTCAAGCACTGGTCGCTGCGGAGCGTGCAGGTCAAGCTGATCAAGATGGGAGGCCGTCTGGTGCGGCACTCCCGGCGATTGATCTTTCAGTTGTCCGAGGTGTCGGTTCCTCGACGGTTGTTCCAGGGAGTGTTGGATCGTATCGGCCGGTTATCGCCGGCGCCAAGCTGAGGGAGGGTACAACCACGATCTTTGCCAAGAGGGAGAGCGCTCCAGGGAGTCGGCTTGTCTTCAATGCGCTTTCACCCCATTGGCGGGGGCCCGAAGACGACAAAGATGGACAAGAAGCATGGTTCACGGCAAGAATCGCATCCCTTATTGGATAGACCGGAGATTGACTGGCCTTGCAGGACCTGACTATGATGCTACCATCTCGTTTGGTTGGGGCTGCCCATTAGCTGCACGACTCCCGATATGGGGAATACCGCTATAAGATTCAAAAGAGAAATGACAAGGCGATACAGGGACTTCAATGCTGCAATAGGCTCGACCCCAGTAATCCCAAAACATACTTCACTCGCGACTTACTTACTCTGAGAAGGGCGACCACGACAAAGCGATGAGGATTTTGACACACGTCATATCGCTCGCATCCGACTACGTTTCACATGCTTACAACAATCGCGCAGGAAGCCATATCGCTAAAAGCGAGCATGATAAGGCAATTCAAGACTATGACAAAGCCATAAATCTGAATCCAAACTTTCGGTGGGCATACGGTAATCGAGGTAATATATACTTAAGGAATGGTGAGTTTGACCGAGCGATTCAAGATTATGATAAAGCAATCGCAATTCGTCCGTATACATTTGCCTACATGGGTAGGGGGAATGCTTACTTTTATAAAGGCGAATACGACAGAGCGCTTCAAGACTTTAATGCTGCCATTGATCGCACTCCTACACTTCCTCACGGTTATATCGGGCGAGGGTACGTATATCTTGAAAAAGGCGAATATGATAAGGCTATTCAAGACTACGACACCGCCTCGGTCTCGATGAGAACGATCCCGTTGCATACTACAGGAGAGGATTGGCCACTCGTCACTTGGCGTATGCTCGCACAGGCGAGGGAGATTTCAACAAGGCGCGCGAACTAGTGACACGACGCGAGACGAAGTCGAGACGGCGCTCAAGAAGCTGGACGATAGCGGATGACGGATAGCGCATAAGGGGGCCAACTATGCTCGCTATGAGGAGCTTGCGCCTTGGTTCGGCTCTGCGGATTGGCGCAATGCTGACCGTTATCTAGCAGCTACGGTGCTGGTCGCGTGTGCGACGACCAACGCCGACATCCGCGTCCGCACTTCACCTGCGACAACACCCACTGTCTGCTCCCTGCCGTTGCAAGCCTTGCCTCTCCACCCTTGAGGAGTACAGGCGCCGGGCCGAGGAGGACCCACCGCCGCGACGTCGCTGTTCGCAAGGCTGTTGAGACATTGAGCGAGGACATCCGAAAAGACTCATCCAACGTTGACGCCTACGTGAAGCGAGAGCTGCCTACACGGCGCATGTACGCGCCTATAGTGGCCTGCCACGTAGAGACGAAGACGAAGGCTGATGAACAGCGGTTGAAGACTTCACAAAGGCCATCGCCTCGAGCCCACTACGCGGCCGCTTATATAGGTACGAGGGCGCTATAAGCGTTGGGAGCGGACGGACAGTGCGACCCCAGATTTCGATAAGGCGGTCACTTCTCAGCGAGGCTATTCGTCTTGATTCCGACGCTGCTGAGAAGTAACTGTGCGAGCGAAAGGCTATTTGTTCAACGTGACTCTGATAAAGCAATTCAAGATCTTGACGTTGCAATCACGCGAATCCGGGCTAACCCAAAAGCCTCTTTTACACACAGGGATTCCCCATATTGGAGGGTTAGAGTCTTCAGGCTCAATGGGCAGCCGCAACGAGATGATGGCATGATGTCGGGTCTGCAGAGCCAGTCAATCTCCGGTGTATCCGCTAGGGCTTGCGATCTTGCGTGAACCATGCTACTTGTCGCGTGCTTCATATCATCGTCTTCGAGCCCCGCCAGTGGGGTGCACAGCGCATTGAGACATGCGCCGACTCCCTGGAGCGCTCTCCCCTCTTGGCAAGATCGTGGTTGTACCCTCCCTCAGCTTGGCGCCGGCGATAACCGGCCGATACGATCCAACACTCCCTCGAACAACCGTCGAGGAACCGACACCTCGGACACTGAAAGATCAACCGCCGGGAGTGCCGCACCAGACGGCCTCCCATCTTGATCAGCTTGACCTGCACGCTCCGCAGCGACCAGTGCTTGACCGCCTTGGGCAGACACAGCCGGCGAAGGAAGTTCCCAAGGTTGTACGCCAGAATGAACAGAGACAGACGCACCCGGTTGGCCACGAACCGATGGCACGACAGCCGAGTCCAGTTCAGGGCGTACTTCCCCTCCTTGATCCACTGCTCGGCTGTCCCTCGACCATTGTAGAATCGCACCACTCCTTCGGGGCCAGCCGTCATGTTCGTGACGATGAAGCCCACCCGAGGGAACAGCTCTCCCCTATGCCACTCCACCTTGGCCACCACCCGCCGAGCGCGGTCCCAACTCTCAGCACGATACCAAAAGTCGTCGTATAGGATCACTGGACGCTTCGGCGGCCTCCCCACAGGTCGTATCAGCAGTGGAGCGATCTCGTATTGCAGCACTTTGTTGCTCGGCAGCCGTATGGCGTAGAAGACTCGCCGCTCCTCCAGGTACTCATAGATGTCCGGCTTGGCGAATGCGGCATCGGCGCGAAAGTACCGGCGCACTCCTGTCGCCCCGTAGCGAGACAGGATCGGATCCAATACATCACGCCACCTGTGCGCGCTATGTACGTTCCCCGCACGGAGCATCGCGCCCTCGCAGTCACCGAACTGGTTGAACACGAACAAAGGGTGATAGCACGTGCTCCCAAAGTGACCGTTGTACGACGCTCCCTCCTGTTCTCCATGTACCGGACTCTCCGAACTGTCCATGTCCAAGATCACCCGCCGGTGCGGCGTGCGGGACATAGCTCCGTCCACCCACTTAGCGTTCAGTCGGCCCAACCCCTCCACGTTGCCGTCTTGGGTAAGCACCTCGGTCTCGAACCGGCTCATGGTGTTGGTGCTGGCGGCCGGTCTTTCAGGACCACCTCGCCGTCCAACGATGATCCGCATCGTCGGGTCCTGGGCCAGCCGTTCAGCGTCGTTGGTATCCTCGTAGCCCGCCAGACGACTGTACACCGACTGCCTGAGAAGGCCCACCAATCGGTGCTGCACGTTACGACCGCCCCGACTCTCCTGCAGACACTCATCCGCCGTCTCCGTCAGTCCCAGTGCATCATCCAACTCGCGGCAGGCCAGCAGTCCGGCGTCCGAGGTGATGGTAGCGCCGCGAAACTCCAACCGTACACGTCGGTCGAAACGGAGCTTGGCGCGGGGGTTGGTGCTTTCACCCATTGGGTGCCTCCAGAGTGGGTACGTTATCAAGAACTAAAGCTGTCGATCACGACCAGTCTAGCACTCATGATAACCACTATGCTCTGCTATTCGGCTACATCGGGTAGTTCTGTTGCTGATTACGGCAAGCCCTGCAG